TATAAACAGTGCAAACTGAAAGGTCGAGCTTGCAAAGGAACCCAAGATGGAAGCTTTGCAGTTCGGTTGAATTGATTGCGCAGATTCAGTTCTATCCAACTCAAAATTGTACTGTTTTGTTTGGTTGACTATAGTGTAGCAAGGCAGACACTATAGGGGTACAATTTAGGTGAAGGTTGGAAGTTGTTTGTCTGTATCTGCGTGCTACAGGGGGAAAAACAGCGGAACCAGCATTTGGCTGGTTGGGAAAAGACAAAACAGGTTCTGTTTTTAGGACCTGAACCTGGTTGTTGTTTTCCCAGGTTGGAAAAACAGAACCAGAGGTTGTTTACCAACCTACCACCTACTGTTTCGTCCAGCCAGGTTGGTTCTGTTGCTTGGAATTATTTGGGATCATCCCTGGTTGTTCCCAGGTTGATTCCCAAGGTCCTTGCTAGCTAGAACTATTTATTCCTTCTCTGTTTGTACCTGGATATAGTGAAGTTGATTCAAGCGAATTCCTTCCTTGCTGGAATTTCGTTTCTACGTGGTTGGACGGCAGAATGCTACCGAGTCAACGCTAGCACTCGAACGCTAGGCAAACGCTGTCCGAGCCATAACTTCGTAATGGCAGAAATTTTCGCGAAACAACTTGGCTCGTTTTAAAGCTCTTGGAGCGAGCTTTGATCAGCTGAATCCGATCGACGATCTGCATGATACGCTGCGCGACTTTCAAGGTGCTCTTGCTATTTTGGCTAGGTCATTCTTGGTCCCTCACTCTACAAACTCGGACCCGATGATAGGGGCTGGTCTTGTACCAGGCACCCAAGGACCGTTGGAGGTGACCCCGAGGAGAGGTATTAAGTTTGATTACGTCTTAAAAACTTGAGTTTATTAGGCCCTTACGCCAACACTACTTACCCGTATAGTGTGTACAAAGAGTAAGTACGTTATTTACCCATATGGTTGGTATTAACAGTATCTGTCGCATGATAACGAGTGGAAAGGTATATAATGTATATTTGTATATACTCGCAATGAGGTTGTTCTCGAGGGATGGAAGAGTTGGGCGGGGGAAAAGGAAGCCGAGAGGTTCAAGAAACAGGCGAGTGGGCGAGTACGGTACGGAGGGAGAGTGGGCTGGCAGTTGGCAGCCGATGCGTTTGTTTCGTGTGCGTGCGTATGTGAATGCATGTTTGTTTTTGTGGCAGGTTGGATGCCCGGAGCAGCTCGAGTTACAAGTGCAAGCTGGAGGTTCGGCAGAAGGATGGCGAAGTTCCAGAAGGGAATAGGAGGGGGGGTTGGCTCTTCGCTAACGCTAAGAGGTCATCACCTCCAAGGTTTTCTCTGCGGAGATAACTACTACAACGGGAGCTAGACTACGGGCTAGGCACGGGTGCTCGTGTGATCTCTGCGTTCGTTGGTCCTTAGTCGTTTTCCTAGTGCACACACTGCTTGCTAGTTCACGGGGCAAGTTGGCAAGAGTTTCACTAGAGAAGGTTGACAATAATGAAGTTGGCATGGCAAGACTACATCAGAGCTAGCATTCAGGTCGGTCGACTGCCAGCACAGCATGGTCGACCGCGCTCCAGCGGTGCAAAGTCGACGGCGTGCCAACGCTGCAGGTTGACGGCGTGCCAGCGTTTCTCCCGCAGAACAGCAGCGCAGCACCTACTTCGCAGGTGCTCGCAGATGATTGGCGGGCTAAGCCTTGTCACCTGCACAACGCACACACCGTGTCATCCTCGTGCTGACGGCTCCACCTGATCCGCCACGTCGACCTCGGGATACCACCACCGAGGTCAGTCTCGCCAACATCGCCTGGGCGACCGTCGCACTCTTCCGCAGAACCTCGTTACCCGGGTAACCTGGTCGACCAGGCAACCACGTCGACCAGGTGCTCCTGTATGTGCCCGTCGACCTCCCAAGTCGACGGCCACCTCCAGTCGACCTCACCAGGTCGAACACACCCCTGGTCGACCAGCTCCAGGTCGACGTCACTCCTGGTCGACCAGCTCCACGTCGACCAGTACAGTCGTCAGCCGACCACCCAAGTCGGTTACCCGAAGTCGGCGTCACCAAGTCGACGCCCTCCGCAGGTCGACTTCCCAGGTCGACCTCCCTGAAGTCGGGGCCAACTTCCGGGCCGACCTCTTGAAGTCGGCAACCTCCCAAGTCGGCGACCTCCCAAGTCGACGACCTCCCAAGTCGGCGACCTCCCAAGTCGGCGACCTTGCAAGTCGGTGACCTTGCAAGTCGGTGACCTTGCAAGTCGGTGACCTTGCAAGTCGGTGACCTTGCAGGTCGGTGACCTTGCAAGTCGGTGACCTTGCAAGTCGGTGACCTTGCAAGTCGGTGACCTTGCAGGTCGGTGACCTTGCAAGTCGGCGCCGACTTCCAGGTCAACATGCCACATCGCCGACCACCAGTTGAAGTCGGCCGCCGGCTTCCCAAGTCGGCGGCATTGCAGTGGCCCCGTGCAAGTGGACCAACCCCGTCGACCACTGCTACAAGTCGGCTGTACCTCCCGTACACCCAACCACGAAGTCGGCTCCGCCCAAGCGAGGATGGGGACAACAACAACTCCCGTTGACATTCTCAAGGAATAGCTATAGGGGGAGGAGCAGGGTACAAGCAAATGACTCTGCATTGTTTGTATGTTCTTTGTGTAATCTGAGTAATTGCTTCATCTCAAGCAGCAGTGAGAACTCAGGCCTAAGCAAGCAATATGGTTGACTAGATAGGCGAGTTAGGATCTGTGAGGAAGCCGAAGAGGTTATCACATACAAAAAATCTAGGATGCAGCAGCATGCGGATGCGAGGTAGAACCGAATACGAATTGGAGCTGAAGGTTGAGACTCCGAACCAAGAATTGGTGAAGAGGGCGCGAGATATGAATCAAGAGACGGACATGCGAGAAGGTGGGACGTGGACGAATGGCAGGACCGTCAAGAGCCGGGACCTGAGGGGTCGGCTCCGACGGGAGCGGAGAAGAATGGCTCGCGATCGGGAAGGTAGCCAGCGCGGAGTGGAAAGGAGCCAGCGGCAGGCTCCTATCAGCGGAGCGCGTTGTGGCAAGAGGCGTCAGTGTAGCGATGGAAGTACACGCTGCTACCCAAGATCGAAGTACCAGAGCGGTTCTCCGGAGATACGCGGTGGAGACCTTCCATTAAGAATTACATGATGAAGCTGGAAAACTTGCGCGCGCGATGGGAGCGAGACCGGCACGCTCCCAAGGAGTTTTTCCGTGGCTTGGCGAACACCTTAACGGGTGAAACGGCGACCTATTACCACATCAGTCTGAGAGAGCTTTTGGAGTGGATGGCACGGGCGGCACCGGGGGAACGCGACCCGACCACGTACTTCCTAGGCATGCTAGAGGAGCAGTATCTTGCACAAACGCCGCAACGAGTCGCGGAGTTTCGAGGCTTTCGACGTCGGACGGGGTAATCGCTATCGGCCTTCTATAGGCAATTAGTGGAGCTGGCGGAAGACACGAGCTGCCACGATGAACGGGCTGCACTATGACGTCACGCGGTACGTGGCGGTGCGCGTCTTCGACATGGGAGCCCGAGCGACGTTGAAGGATGCCAACAAAGTGGTGAAGCGTGTGGAAACCGGGCGCCGCATGTACGAGATCGAGGCAACTCCGAAAGGGAGGTGAGCGTAGGAGGCCGGCTTGGACAGCGGCGCCAGCAGAGAAAAGCGACCACCGCGACGGGGGGGGGGGGGAGGGTGGGGGAGAGGAGAGGCGCTGACATAACTGTGGAAAGCCAGGGCACCTCAAAAGGGATTGCCGCAAACCTCCGACGTGCTCGACGTGCGAGAGTGAAGAGCAGATGAGGCGGGATCGCCCGGATGCCCCAATGTGTGAACGGTGCGGGCGGAAGGGACACACGGAGAAGGACAGTTATGTGGCAGGACGGGAGAGGCGACATAAGAAGGACCCAGAGGACATGCGGGCTCAGATAGCACGTCTGTAGTGACAGTCGCAAGAGCTGGAAGGGCAAGAGACGAAGGGAACGGCCATGCTGGCCAAGGGTGAGGAAGAGGATGATGAAGGCAGTGAGGCGAGTTTCGCTCTGATGGCACAACCGGCTCGGGAGAGAGACGAGATGGGGCTGCGGGTGCGGCAGCGGAACTTCCCACGGGAACAGCCGGCACAGGAAAGAGGCCCCAGGTGTACCACGATGACAGAGCCTGATCAGGGAGTGGCACGTCGACACCCACTTGAACGAATGGCGTGTCACTTATGGGTGTTGGTGATGGAGAAGGATGTGATGTGGTGGGCGGAGTCAGGGTCAAGCAAACTATCCTGGACACAGGGGCGCACAATGTGCTGATCGGAGTACCCATGGCAAGGCTGTTGGGATTGGATCGGGAAGACCGGGTGATTTCTGAAGAGTACTTGCTCATAACGGCGGATGGAGGAACGGCTAAGTGGATGCCGAGGACACGCAGTACGGTGGAGATCGTGATCCGGCCAAGGCAGAAGGAGGAATGCATCGTGAGGATGTTTTGCGGCAAATCTACGTCGGAAGGTTACGACCTCCTATTGGGAGTGGAGTACCTGTACGCCATTGGGACCACCATTTGCATGTGTGAGGAGAAGTTGATGTACTGCGTCACTTACTGGGAGTATGGAAGCCCGCTCACGCAACTGCCAGTGAGGTTTATCCGAAGAGATCCTCGTGAGGCTTACCAGGCGATTGAGAAGCCGCTGGAGGAGGAGTTGGGGATCCTGACATGGAAGGAGACGGATCAGACGGTAGCCGCCAGGAAGCAGTACGAGGAAATATGGGGAGCAAGTGACAACCTGAAGGAACCGCAGTTGAACCTGCGGGCATTCCAGAAGCCACTGGTCTTGCTAGAGCTATTCGGTGGGATAGCAACGGGCCTGGCGGCAGCCCTGAAGGCAGGACAGACCGTTTGCACCTACCTGTGTGGATAATAACGACGACACGAATCTGATGGCATGGCAGCACATCAAGCTCCTGAAAGAAAGGTATCATGAGCAGCTTATGGAAGGGGCGGCCGAGAGAGGGGCGGAGTGGCTGTGCAAAGGATTGGAGGAGATAGACGACGAGCTCATCTCACAATGGGTGAAGATCGACCGGGTGATAGCGGATTGGGGCTGTCAAGGCTACTCGCGGACAGGAAAGGGGAAAGGGATAGCTGCACCAGTGCAGTCGACGCATTGGCTCCACGATATCAGACACTAGCCGGGCAATGGACCTCAACGCCCTGCATTGGTTGTTCACCACTATGTCCAACCATCTGGAGATGAAGTGGCTGGAACGACGCATTGGCCAAGCGACACTAAGTAGGCCGCGGACGCAGCTAATGGCGAACAAGGAAATCAAGGCTTGGACGATGCTGGGGGGAGTAGAAGAGAAGGAAGGGAACCAGTGGTGGCGGGGGATCCTAGAAAAGCAGAGATGCGCCAGCTGGAGGGATGACAGGGAGGGCATTCCAGGGAGATATACGGACCCGCAAGAGAGCGGGGAAGAGGAGGAGGAGGAGGAGGAGGAGGAGGAGGAGGAGGAGGAGGAGGAGATGGAAGTGGCGGGGAGTGAAGAGGAAGGAAGAGGGGACACGCCGGAGGAGTTCCATGATTCGGACTTCCGATATGGAAGGAGACTACTTCGACCCGCTTGACTGGCCACCCATAGGACCAGTGTTGATGGCGTTGGATGTCACACATCAGGAAGGAACGGCGCTAGTGAGGGAAGGAGAGGCTAGAGGGCCAGAGGAGGAGGGACGGGCAGCGAATAGGGGACAGAATGAGCCCAGGCGGGAGATGCAACAGCCAGCTTGGGACATCGGGGAAAGACTGCAGGGGAAGCAAAGAGAGGCCATGGAGATCCTGCTGGCGCGTCATCGGGACACCACCGCCTACACGTTGAAAGAACTGGGATGATGCATCTGCGCGACGATAACTCTGAACCTAACGACACCATACCATTGTACCAGAGGAGATGCACGATGAGCCTACAGGATTTGGAAGTGTTGGTGTAAGGGCCTAATAAACTCAAGCTATTAAGACGTAATCAAACTTAATACCTCTCCTCAGGGTCACCTCCAAGGGTCCTTGGGTGCCTGGTACAAGACCAGCCCCTATCCTCGGGTCCGAGAATGCAGAGAGAGGGACCAAGAATGACTTAGCCAAAATAACGAGAGTACCTTGTACGTTGTGCAGCGTGCCGTGCAGACCGTCGATCTGATTAAACTGAGAATTTGCTATATCAAAGCTCGATCCAAGAGCTTTAAAATAAGCCAAGTTGCCTCACAAAAAGTTCTGCCATTACAAAAATTATGGCTCAGACAGCGTTTGCCTAGCATTTGAGTGTTAGCGTACCAGTGTTGACTCGATAGCATTCCGCATAGAAACGAAATTCCAGCAAGGAAGGAATTCGCTTAAATCAATTTGACTATATCCAGGTACAAACAGAGAAGGAATAAATTGTTCTAGCTAGCAAAGACCTTGGGAATCAACCTGGGAACAACCAGGGATGATCCCAAATAATTCCAAGCAACAGAACCAACCTGGCTGGACAAAACAGCTGATGGTAGGTTGGTAAACAACCTCTGGTTCTGTTTTTCCAACCTGGGAAATCAACAACCAGGTTCAGGTCCGAAAAAACAGAACCTGTTTTGTCTTTGCCCAACCAGCCAAATGCTGGTTCCGCTGGTTTCCCCTGGCCCTGTAGCATGCAGATAAAGACAAACAACTTCCAACCTTCACCTAAATTGTACCCCTATAGTGTCTGCCTTGCTACACTATAGTCAACCAAACAAAACAGTACAATTTTGAGTTGGATAGAACTGAATCTGCGCAATCAATTCAACCGAACTGCAAAGCTTCCATCTTGGGTTCCTTTGCAAGCTCGTCCTTTCTGTTTGCACTATTCATAGCACGTACAATGTTGTGCCGAAGCGCACATTGCGCGAGTACCTGCAAATGCATCAAGCGAAAATTGCAAAAGCAAACAAACACACGAACATTCCATTCACACCCAAATGCATTCGCACACGCATACTTGTACAGACAGATGGCAGGATGTCGTGCAATGTGAATTTGCACCCAGCACACTCCCCCTCAGCCTGCCGGCTGCATCCCCATCATTCCATGCTAGATCATGTTCATTTCACTCATGCGCACACAACGCCAATGAGGCTTATCCGCAAGCCTCTTAATGAGGAAGTCTGCTGGCTGCTGGTGAGTCTTGATGTAGATGGGATTCACCGTCCCCCTCGTCACCTCCTTACACGGCGAGTGCCACTTGATACACATGTGCTTGTTCAGCCCATGAAGCACAGCGTTCTTGGCCATCCTAAGAGCCCCCTTGCTATCACAAAACAGCAGCGTAGCAACCTTCTGCTCCTGGCCAATCTCCTCTAACAGCCTCCTCAGCCAAATCACCTCCTTCACCCTATGGAACATCTCCATGTACTATGATTCCACGAGAGTGCCGTCTCCGTCTACTTCTTGGACCTCCAACTAACAGGTCCTCCCCCAACTACGCAGATGTATCCTCCCACAGATGAGGAATCCTCCTTCTTAGAGGCCCACGTAGCATCGGTAAAGCAAGTGAGAAACAGCTTGCCTTCTCCAAGCCGCTCCCCCTTCTCTTCTAGCACCTCAACCCCTTTGTGCTTCACCTGTGCAGATGCGGAGTATTGAACTCCAATGCCTGGGTAAGAGTTCAGGTACTTCACCACACGCTCAGCTGCATCCACCTGCTCCTCCGATGGATTCTGCACCACCCTTGCCAGCTGCCTAACAGAGAAAGAGATGTCGGGCCTCGTGTGAACCGCTGCATACAAGAGGCTGCCCACCAAGGACCGAAATTTCTGCTGCTCCTCGGCTTCAACCCCTTCATCCACTGCTGCCTTCACAAGCTTGAACACAGCTGGCAGGGAAGTTGCAACCTTGCGCTCATTCTTAATCCCATACTTCTCCCCCAGCTCCTTGATAAACTTCTCCTGGTGCAGCTTCAACCACCTGTGATCTGGATCCCTCTCCACGTGCATCCCGAGGTAGTACTTTACCTCCCCAAGGTTCTTGCGCTTGATGTTCTCCATCAGCTGCTGCTGCACATTCTGGATAACCTTCATGCTGCTGCTAAAGAGAAGAATGTCGTCCACGTAGACCAGAAACAGCACCAGCTTCTCCCCCTCCCCCTTGAGAAAGAGGCTCTCATCACAACTGCTATGCTAAATCTCATCTCCTCTAAAACAGCTGCCAACTTCTGGTACCAGCAGCGTGGCGCCTGCTTCAAGCCGAAGATGACCCCTTTCAGCTTGCACACCCTGCCCATACCATCCTCATACCCAGGCGGCTGCGTCATGTACACATCCTCCTCTAAAATCACATTGAGGAATGCCGTTGATATATCCATCTGAATGATGAACTTTCCACTAACGGCTGCATCTGCCAACAAGACACGGAAGGTAGGGGGTTTGGCAGTGGGACCAAAGATCTCTCTTGAAGTCTTGCTTCTCCTTCTGCATAAACCCCTTAGCCACCAGCCTACTCTTGTAGATGGTGACCTGTCCCTTGTCATCGGTCTTGATCCTTAGCACCCACTTGCACTGTACAGCTTTCTTCCCATCAGGCAGCACCACCAGATCCCATGTCCCATTCTCTAGCAGGCTCTGGTACTCAGCATCCCTAGAAACCAGCCACTTCACCCTATCTGGTCCAGCTAATGCCTCCTCCATGCTAGCTGGTTCCTCTGGTGCAGGGGCAAGAAAACAGTAGGCATGTTCATCCTCCTCATCCGGGTCATAGCCATGCGGTAGAATCAGCAATGCCTCCTCATTCCCAAGCTACTGCTCTGCTACATCAGCTCCTGCAGTCAGCTTCATAGTGGCCATATTCGAGTTCACAAGAAACGCCGTCGACACAAATTTCACTGTCAAAACTGTTAGAGAGTAAGGACGGAGTCTATGAAGATCAGGAGCCGAAATATCTCAAAATCGTTGGGCCTAGTTTCTGGACAGAAAAGTCGAGTTCACAAGAAACGCCGTCGACAAAACGTTCACGGTTAAAACTTCAACAAGCTCAGATATGTTGTAGCCCTAGTCTGTGGCTACACTTCTCAATTTGAATCGTACGATATGGTTAAGTATTTCTTGAGGTATCAGTTTTGGCGCACTAGGGGGTATGCTGCCATAGAATCTTAACTCAATCACAAAGTTCACACAATTTTCACACAAGGAAGTAAGAGTAGCAATTAACCAGGTGGGAGGGAAGAGGAGGACGAGAGGGAAGGTCCCCAAGGAGTCCTCAACCAAGGAAACCCCATAAGCACACCAAATCCCTTCCCTATAGGAACCCCACTTTTACTTTTGTCACTTACCCACCCATGCCATCCACCTTGCCCAACTTGGCCACACTTGCCAACCTGGTTTGGCACCTCCCAACCACTTGGCAGCATCTACAGTGATGTTGACAAATTTCCCAACCCCCAAAAGTCTATACCCCTTATGGAGTCAACCTCACAACTTCCCATAGTCACCAAAACCAAATATCAAAAGCATACGAACTTCCAACGTTCGTAACTTTGTTCGTGCTCCGATTGAAGCGATACTTGGTTCGTCGGAAAGCTCTTGAGCAGAGGAGTCACTTCAGATATCTGCTCAAGCCAAATAACATTCACACACACTCAGAAAAACCAAACCACATCAAACACAAATTCTTGCACACGCTCACACCACGCATGCAACGCACGAACATGTGATGGGAGGCAGACGGACGTGAATGCAAGTGATAGCATCACATAACAAACTCCCCCTTTGGCTGCGTACCATCATCCCACATGCCATAGCTCAATCATGCACCCTCAATGCACACTCATCCCAGCAAGCTTCATGCCCTTCCAATGCTCAGATTCAGCCAGGCGCTTGGTGAGAATGTCAGCCGCCTGCTGATGGGTCTTCACAATCTCCAGTCGCACCTCCTTGTCCAGGAGCCTCCTCACCCAGTGCCACTTGGGCCTGATGTGCTTTGTCAGCCCACGAAGGCAGGCGTTTTTGGCAAGCTTCACTGCCGACTCATTGTCACAAAACATGATTGTCGGCTCCCTCTAACCAACTCCAATCTCCTCCAACAAACGCCTCAGCCACACCACCTCCTTTGCCCCAAGATGCAGGGCCATGTAATCTGTCTCACACGAGGACTGCCCCACCTCGTTCTGCTTCTTACTGCGCCAGCTCACTGCACCACCTCCAAACAGGCACACATAGCCTCCAATGCTGGTGCCATCCGCCTTCACAGAGTTGAAGCTAGCGTCAGTGTAGCAAGTCAAGAGCATCTCCTCCTTGCTTAAATCAGCTGCACCCCTCTGCAGCCTCTGTCTCACAGCACTGTACTCCAAACCCACTGATGCCGTTGCACTCACATAGCGGACCAACCTCTTGGCCGCTTCCAGCTGCTCATGACTGGGGCGTGAAACCACACTGGCAAGCCTGGATGTTGCAAAGGCAATGTCAGGCCGTGTGTGGTTAGCCGCATAGTTGAGTGCCCCAACCATGGAATGAAAAAGTTTCCTGTCACTCTCACCCACCACCTCCTCATCAGCACAGGGCTCCACAGTGAACCCCGAAGGCAGTGGGGTGGCTGGCTTTCCTCCATCTTGCAGCCCATACTTCTC